TCACTTGTGGATAATAAACTTTATAGCATTAATAGCGAACAGTCTCGTTTAGAATCAAATATTAAATAATCTTTACACGCCTGGAGGATTTGCTGCCCCTTCTAATCCCCTTGTTCCTCTTAATAGTCGTCTCTCACTGACAAATAACAAGGACGCCAGCTTCATAAATAGCTTTTTTCCCTGGATCGTATATAATTATTATGTTATGTCTATGAATAATGACCGAATAGGCAACTCCCAACACACATATTGAATAGAGATAATTTGTTCAGCGTTGTCACCTGAAGAAACACCTCGTTTTGAAAATGTTGTCTGCCATCCTTTAGCATGGGCTGTTGTACTATTTGTCGCCTGTCCTCAGAAGATGACATGCGTGAAATCGATGCGAAGTATTTTAAATGAATGCCGCAAAATATATTACCAGACTATGTATGAGCGAATGAACTGTTTCGACTTCCATCCCGTCATAAGTCAGGCGCCCTCCCCCCCATCGGGCCATCTTACGTAACGTCATCCGACCGCCCAGACGTCCCTCATCCGTCGAGGTATGCTAGTGGTTTAACATTTGAGTGGGGTTAAGCACTGGAATTACCAGCTTACTGATTAGGAAAGAAACGACTAATTGGGTGTTACTACTTCACCCGGATTTCGCTTTCGGCCAATCGGCAATAAATATGCGACTTTCGCAGCGCAAATTCCGTGCTTTTTCTCTTTCTACTATTAGAAACGTTATAACTTTTCCGAATGAAGATACAATAGACATTAATCAGTATTGGTTGAGAAATTTGTATGAATGTAAATCAGAAGGCGGATGTGTAAGACAGGGGGTCGACCCTCATCAGCTGTTGGCAGCATGTATATAACAGATGAAATTCATTCATTCTCAAGACAAGATAACAGGACATTTGTTTGCAACGAAAATGAATTAACGTAAAAAACTTATCGAAATGTAAATCAGCAAACACATTTCAGAAATGTGTGTTCCATTGTAGCTCCTGTTTGTTACTAAGGCGGAATGAATGCCAGTAACCTGCCTGCTGGGGTTCTGGCAAAGGCGTGGTAGTTTGGGTAAATGTGGGTCTATGTTAATCGAGCTTGTGGGTGCAGCATTAAAGCCCAGGTCTCAAGGCAAACCTTTCGTTTGCATTTCATGGCATGCAGTAGGTTAACAAACAGTACAACTATACTCCTTATTCTTGAGGTCTCAGAACTGCGATCTAAAAGATTGGTGGATCGTCATGTGGCTTGTTCTCCATCCTCTGGAAAGGTTTTAATAATAGGCCTGTACTTTAGTTTCGACGAGGCGTTTAACCAGCGTGGTCAGCGCTTTAATCGCACAATTTTTGCCAGACGTTCAGGGTTTGCTATTTTGATGGTTGTCGGAATTGAACATTTTGCAGTATAGGTCAAAATCGGAATACAAAGATAGATAATAGAGTCTTAGAAAATATGACAGTAAAATTGTGGTGTTGCGGTACCACTATAAGTGCAGTACTATAAAGGCGTGTAACGGAGTGGAGGTTCAACCCCACGTATTCGTAACGTTGGTACTAGGCGATGGTGAGTGATAAACTAGACGATTCAGCGTGTTTGCCCCTAGGAAATATATCTCTATGCCCATTTGTTAGGAGTCTGATTGGGCCCTGACGCTGGTCTGGATATGCTGGCGAGAAGAAATTCTATCCCCTGCCAGAAATTGATCTCCGTTCATTCAGCCCGTTGTCACACTGTACTGAGCTACTCAATCTCATGTTTATTCAGGGTGTGTTGAAAGACACAACATTGTTGTTGCTGTGTAGGCTACATATGCAGATTTGTTCTATTATGTGATAATTACAGTGTGTGTGTGTGCGTGCGTGCGAAGTGTAAATAGATTATCATTTTGTGCTCCTCCCTGTAAAATGGAACTAAGCTTGCTAACACCCTAAGTCTGGTTATTTCTGACTTGCATTAGGCATATTCAAGAACATGGCAGATGCCACACTTCGAGAATAGCCGTTGTATGAGAAGTATTATGGCGCTGGAAATCCGGTGGAGTGCGTGAATTTTGAATCCGTGATAAGAGATTTAATAAAAAAAATTATTCCGCCAGATGTGTGTAGGGACACAAATAAATTCGAATCTTTCTATCTGTAAGATGCCAACAATTATACGTGTGAGGGTGTATTGTTTTATAAAACGATATTTTTGTCGTGAATTGTGGGGAAGTGTATCGGTTTACTAGAAGTTCCATAAACGTTTGAATTGTGCTCAAATCCAGATTATTACATGTGTTATGACTATTTGTTTGAAGTTCTAACTGTTATTTGTTATAAGGTACTTTTACATCCGACATATGAGCACACATTTATTTGCTGTTAAGTTATTCGAAAAATACCGGGGAAACATCGAATATTCTTAGCATATTTTTGACAGTGTAACTTAAATATTTTATGTCACTCAATAAAAATTGACTTTATTTTGGCGTAGTTAATATCTTCATAACTTGTTTCGATAAGATTCATCCCGGCTATCCGGGCATTTGCATGGAGAGACTGAGAAAAGTCACGAAATCCTCATTCAGGATTGCCGGTCTCCGGGCCGTGATTTGAACCCGTGATATCCCGAATACGAATCAGGTGTGCTAATCACTTGACCGCAATGAGGATTTCACTTTAAGTAAATTAATTACAATAATTTTGAAGGAGATAGGAGTTCAGGGGCAGGGATTTTCGTGCCGTTTTGTTTGCCCCTCAGCTGTGCTGCGATGCAACACGCAGAGCTTGTAGTTTCTGTCTCAGTGAATTGTGTGTTGGGTGTGCCCTGTCTGATGAACTAAGGCGTAGAATGAATGTACTTCGTTCTGCTAGTGCGAAGGAATGAGTTATTTTTTCTCCTGCCTCTTTTTTCTTTGTTACCAGCCGTTCTAAATAATTGTTCTAAAACCAGTCGGAAAGGGGAGTGGATGAGTGACACATCGTACATTCCACAGAACTTAGTCGTCGTAACATTTAACATATTTGTATACAAGAGAATAATCTTATTAGATTCATTGTCCGTGGTGCTTGGTGTGCCTAGAGTTGTCTGCACTAATCACAGTGTGTTCACAGACGCATTTCTGCTTTGCAGGACGTAATGATTTTTGCCCTGTAATTCTTTATTTCTCATCAACCGTACGTATAATGAATATCGTTTCACCCATACTGTGGACGTGAATTTGTATCAATGCTGTTAAAATATCTTACATTAAAATCGTGAAACCTTAATCTATTTCACGCTTTTCTAGTGATTTTCTTCATGCTGCAGACTTCACTAGAAAACGATCAACAGTGACAGCAACTGAATTGAAGGGAAAACACAGCTTCTCATAAATCTATTCCGAAAGAAAAAAGTCTCACGACCAAATTTGAGCCTACGTGCCCTGTATCCACATTCTAGCCACATGCCCTTCACATCGTGACCTCGCTGTGTGACCTGTATAATAGCGAAGTTTCTCGTTCGGTAGTTTCGTAAATTGTCTCCTTAATTTAGCCTTCCTGAGCACGATGTTTTGAAATATTGACATTTTAAGTTTTTGTTCTTCCGTGAAAAATAAGGGACTGCGTTTTACGCCGACGCAAGAAATTATGAAATATTGTTATGTTGGTATATATTGTTTGCCTTCAGAGTTTTGGAAAATAAACGAGATTTCAGGTTATCACGGCGACTGGTATGAAGATGAACAGGGTGACTGGACGATAATATTTTTCCACTGAAAGAAAAACTTATTATTCTGCATTCGACATAAACCTCAGTTTTGTTTGTTGTTACTCTCTTGCCCTGTTGAAGTATCGGTACATGTTCGCGTCAGAGCGTCTTCTTTTCGGGGGTGGATGTTTTTGGAAGTGGGTAGTAGCATAACCTTGATCGCCGTCGCTACCACCGCCTTTTGCTTCATTTCACCTGCCCCGGCGTAACTGATTGGCTGTGTGCCTGTTTGTTCTTGTCATAAAGGACTAGCTCCTTGGACTATTTGCATTTTATACGCCAAGCGAGAGAGCAAAAAAGAAAAAAGATTACTTAAACGTAGCTCCGAGCGGGATCCGATATACACGAAGTGCAAAGACCGGCAGTTGTGCCAACTTAGATTTTCAGTTCGGTCCTTGGCGCCTTGTGATGCTTGCATAAATCCTGTAGGCAGAAACGTAGAAATTCTGGTAGACGCTCTTAAGGAGGCTAACCTACAACAAATCGCAGTGAAAGTTAAATACACGTCACCACAGTGCAGGACAAAATCTCGTTATAAGGACGTCTAAGAAATCCTTCGAAAATGTGTCAAGGGTTCGGATATTTCGTAATGATTGGTACATATAAAACTTGTCTTCAAGAAGAACTGGGAAGATGAAATTTCGGTATTGCTTGATGTTGTTAGGTTTATAATCTTCTGCTTTCCCATCTCCTTGCTGATACCATAATAGATAAAATATGCAAATCTTTTGTTTCTATGGATGTGAAACTTTGCTTGTCAGGTTAAGGGAAGGACTCAGATAGAGGAATGTCATGACGTAACGTTGGGTGGCCTTCTGTGACACAGCCTGTCCAAACCAAGTACCTTAAAATACTTCAGCTGTTTGGTTAAGGGTGCTGGCACTTGGCCAAGATGATGACATTGACGAACACTGAGTAAAATAATTTGAAAACTGAATTAGCGTGGTAATTATGTGTCTGATGTTGAATAAATCATTAATGACCCATGGTGGTGTATTCTTGTAGACTTGAGGATGAACTAGTATGTTCTTCCGAAACTTTAGAATCTACTTATAAGTCCACGCGGTGTTAAACCCAGAACAGCAACAGTGACATCTTCATCGTCGCTAGAACCTAACATCTCACATAAGAGTAATTTAGAAGCCGCATCGGTAATCGATGCAGGAGATAACTTTGAAGTCGTGATATGTCTACATCGAGAATCGTAATTTGAAGTCTGTCTTGTGCTGTTACCTGATGTGGTTTATGTATTTTATGGTCGTATTTTGTTTCAGGTACCACATAGCAGGACAGACAATGTAAGGGGTTGATGCATTGGATGTTCCGATGCCCCTCCTTTCAGCGACAGCCGCACGACCCGGTGGCGACTCTGTTTCTTGTCAGGACGCTGAGAGAGCGGGTGGTACTGCCCGCGACATCGCTCTGTCGTGGTCGGCAGTACCGATAACACCACCAGCGCAACGGAGACCACTCTGTAAGCTGCCAGTCTTCGTAACCCACCTCAAGATTATGCCTACCGGTGAAGTAACTTCTTCTTCATCACTGTCACCTTCATCATCCTCGTGTTCACCTTCACCCACGTCCTCTCGTCGGACTACATTCAACCGGCTCAATCCTGTGATAAATCGGTTTACTAGATGATACTACGAGAGATCGAACATTTGTTGTACCCACCATGAACGATACGTTGGATACAACGCTTACTGGCAGTAGCGTGTCAGTGAATAATTCTTTACACCACTCACCACCGGGCCCTAATTGGGGAGCGCCGGGGGGTGGTGTTGGGAGCCCTCGCTTCAATAATTCTCATCACCAGCAACATTCCCAGACTCCCACCAGTTCTTCTGCCGCCTTCGTCTCTGGGAAGACGAAGTCAGCGGTGACGCCATCGGCAGGTGGCGGTGGCGTGTTAACTAACTCTGTGATGGAACAACTGAGGCCTCCGGACACCGGGGGTAGTGCTAGTGTAGGACACTGCGGTGTTACATCATCTTCAGCACCCTCGTGTAATAAAGACGATTCGAATGCGTGTGGTAGCAGACGACCGCCTTCTTCGTCAGTAGTAACGGCGTCTTCGGGAGCTGTTACCGTCATCAGTGTTCAACACGGGGGGACCTGTAAGCCGAACGTGGAAAATGTACATCCCGATAACGGTGAGTGTTTTTATGGATGTGTCGTCCTCTTTATGATAAATGTACTGTTCGAGACTCGGGTTCGTGATCCTGTTGTTGCTATGCGATACCAGAGCAATAAAAGAACCCCTCTCCTGTACTGTGACTGCCTCATTACTGCTATTTCTCTCCGATAACCCATAATTTCCATCTCCTCCGCCTGTACGTTCTCTGAGCTCACAGGACCACAGAGCTGATATCGAGACGTTAGTACCCTTCGACGGAACGCTACAAAAATAGAGAACAGATAGTCCACCTAATTCACAGAGTGCTCTTAATTCCGAAGTGTCCTTTCGTCCGTCATTTATGCATTTAGGTACTTCAGATAGAATTGAGGTATGGCATTCTGTATATAGATTCAACGCCTTAAAGTGGCAGCTTAACTAGAAGAAACTGCAAATCCGAGAAAATGACAATGGTTCTTTATGCCCTAAACTGCTGGTCTCTGTTCTGAAATTCCGTCCATGGATTTTAAGAAACAGGAGTGCTAACCACACATTGTTCTCCACATGACCGTGTTGTCAGAGGGGTCTAGTCCCCTGGTGTGACATTGTGGTTACGTGTAGGCGTGTATTGTACCATGACAATCTAGCTGGCTGCTTTCTTATGATCTCATTTTGTAGGCATTGTATGGAAATGTTGGACCCTAGTGTCTGAACATCACTGTACAGTTCCACAAGCCGAAGAGTCAGTTGGTATGTAAGTTCTGGTCCTTAATTAATTGGGTCTCAGACGTAAAGCATATAGCAGAAACCAAGCTTACAAGTCCAGTGGTTAGCATTCCTTTGTCCCCGGTGCAAAGCTTGGTCCGAATATCGGCAATTCTGACTGAGGGTTTTCGCGTTTTTTTTCTTCATTACTTCAGTCAGATGCTAGGATATTTAATATCTCAAATGAGGCCACGACCGCGTCCTTCCACATCCTTCCCAATTCATTAATTATTCTAAAAGTCGATGCTATATAGAACTGCTTGTAACGCCGTTAAATACAATACGCCTTCATTGTCTTTGCCTTTTTGCTCTGGTTTTGTATATAGCTGTATTGTTTTATTATGCGAGGAAGACTTCGTTACCCGAATTCCTAGCGCCCGCTTCAGTTACGTAGTCGTAAGCGTCCAAAATGCACGCTATCACGACGTAATTTGAAATATGGCTTGTATATCTTCCGTGCACGAAGTGGCCATCCCCTTGTTTCATTTCCGAATTTATTCAATGCATTTCGACTAAATTTGGTAGTAACGGTGCCTTATAGTATTTGTCAGATGACTTCGATTATATTCGAGTAGTTTACGTTAACCCCGAATCTATCTTTATTAGTTGTAACGTGTTGAGTGGAATGTCAAATTTTAACAGCCCAGATATGTTTAAACTGGCTAATACGTGTGCGCATGAGCACAAAGGCATCTGTCTGGGCTTAAATTGGATATTTCCTGCGAAGTCGAGGATTGATTTTGCGTTAGTGATATCTTTTTGTTCCCAGACTATCCTTGGTCCTGAACCCAAAAAGTATTCGCTGGCCCTAGGTCGCCTCTCAGCGCTGAAGAATGTTGGCATGGTTCCCGTCAGATGACGTTATGCTTTGGCACGTTGGCCTCCCGTTGCTATGTATCTTGTTCCTTGGACTGTCCCGGGTTGCCGATGCCACAAAATTTCCTCTGTACCTATTGAGGCGTGACATTACATTTCTTTTTGCTATATTCAAGGTTTGACGAAGCTGATTTCAGTAATATAGTTCAACACAGGGATGTCCAAACTTTAAAGATCTCTTCAAAACGTAATATAATACATTTTATGTATGTTTTGCAGGTGTTTAATCTATGTTGGTTTTCGAGAATTTCTTGTGTTGGGTTCTTTTGACTTTGATGTGCTATATGAGACATTCTTCAGGCTCTTAAATTTCAAGTTTTTCAAGACATGGATTGAACATCTGCTAAGTTTCATTTTCATTTGTAAGTTTTTATTATTTCCCATCGTTTAAACAACGTGCTTGCCGAGGATTATTCATACCTAAAGACGAGAATCGAAGAATGGAGAGTAATACGTGCGATATCAGGGTCTCACGGCGGCGAGTTTTAAGTTGACTGTCTTCTGGAATGTTGCGCCACGTAGTCTCGTGCAATTTTACGTAAGTTTCATAGTTTCTTATTGCCTTCATCATTATGGCGATGATTAACTCTTCGAGTAATTCACAATAGTATTAAATCATAATCACACAGTAGTTTACGAAGAATGATGAAGATTCTAGGAAAACGTTCAATTTGAAGAGACAACATTGAGGTGCATTTTATTCGTTTCGCCATGGTTCTCTTCAGACTATGATCTTTCATTTGTGACACCGTGTAGTCTTGTATCACAGCCCAGAAGACAAGAATCTGAGGAAATAATAATTCAAAAAAACAAAACAAAGGCAAGAAACTCCCTTGAGCCAAATATACTCTCACTGCCATGAAAACCACAAATCTCGGTGTACTTGTTTCGATCAGTGTAAGCGGCGAAGTTAATGAGAAGTGGAACAACAACGATACAAAAATTGTAGTTGTGAATGGCTTGTTCTTTGTTTTGTGCTCACTGTAGTCTCGTCACGTAGTGACAGTGCGCAAGACGGACAACTAGCGCCGCCAGCCACAACACAACGAACGACTTAGGAGCAACATCCTGCCGCCATTCCATGGGACTTGAAAATAAGCTCTTAGAGGGTCGACACACTCATTCAAGAACCTCTTGTGTGGAATAGTACGAAGAAATGATACAAGATTGTAAAATGTTTGTTCAACCGACAGCCATAAAATCTGTCCGGATATACGTTTTAGTTTATTCAGTATTTAGACTGTCAAAATATATGAAAAGGAAATAAACAATTCGAGACATCTAAGTATATGAATAAAATAGATCTTAACAGAGAAACTGAGTGTAATCGTCTGAGGATAGACCTCTTGAACGCAGTAATGGACGTTCGAGTTTTATAAAACACGAATGTTTTTACCATCTGAGACAATCGGCTTCAAATGCACTCTTCTTCATGTCGTGACTTTTCATGCAAAAAAAGTCGTCCATAACGCTCTACTTAGACCAATATTGTATTTGGTCCATGAACTCAACCAAGGATTCTCAAGTCAAAGATTCATTCATCCAGAGGTCAGTACACATACTTACGGACAGACAGATGGACGAAAGTGGGAAGGCTAATAGCCCTAACACACTAGCTTCCGGCAACCAATGATGGATTCGTCATTGTTGGATTTAATTAATTTTAGCCGGGAGCCATGACCCCAGCAGTACAAGACTTCGCTGAGAAATAACGGGTATTGAAAGCACTCGTCGTTGGCGTGATACATACGGAGAGTTCTGATTCACTATACAGAGTGCGTCATTCCTTTGTTTGCAGCGGTATCACCGCCTGTTTGTGGATCTAGACGCCGGTCGATATCAAGTGTTCTGACGGTTAAAAACATCACACGCTGCCTTACGATCTTTTCGGAGGTTCTGTCCATGCTCGTTGAATGTTTGTTTCCAATGTTATCGATTTATGTACGTCATACAACAGCTAAAAGTGTACGGGGTAACAGTAACTATGGCGGATGGCTCAGAAAACACAATGTTTACTTGTAACACGAACAGCCCACCCAGCCTCCTCTACAACGGGTACCGTGGTCCTTTCCCGGGGGTAAAGCGCGGCCGGGGCGTGATGCTGACCACTCACCCCCCATCTAGTGCTGAAGTCAAGAATGCTCTCCCCCAAGCGCCTACATGGCGCATATTGGGACTGCTTTACTTCGCAGTGCTACTACCGGAGCGAGCGTACATCAAATGACTGAAACTGTTTGGCGGACGAGATCACGTGACAGTAAAAGCGCAGAAGCGTCCAAAACTCGGCCGCCGTCGTTCATGTCGTACATTTTAGTTTTATCCAGCATCTCTGCATATTTCACGACGACGAAACAAATTCTGTGGCATGTTTAAGTTGACATCTGATTTCTCGAACGGAATTCTGGGTTTCGATCTGTAAAACCACAAAATGTGTTGATTGTTTCTGTGGGCATTTTATTTAAACGTGATGGCCATAGTTTTTCAGATTATACAACTGTTGTCTCGCTGCACAGTATACCATAATACGGCGACAGACAAAAGAAAGAATTGGCTGCTGCCAGTCAGTGTCTGCCTCTGGTAAACTGCAGTCCACAGAGTAGATAGCTAAGGGAATTTTCTTTCGTTTTTGGCATTAACATTAGAATATCTGTAGCTGAAGAAAATTTCTTTCCAAGTCTGTTAATGCGCCAGTATTATGCAGGTTGTGTTAAAGAAATTGATAAACTCTAATGTAGTGTGGAAAGTATCAATGAATTTCCAGGCGCCGTTTCTGCAACGTAATTTTAAATGTTTTTAACTGAGTGAATTTTCTACTTAGAAAATTTCCTTAACAGAATGTGTATACTTTGTGTGTGTATGTATGTTTATTTATGCATATATGTTTCACTTCTTTGTTTCTTCGTTAAATGTGACGATTAGTAATTCATACTTTTTATTTCAGGAAAAACTATCAAGTATTATCAATCTTGCAATGGTAAGTACAGAAATTATTTATCCATTCCCATGGTTCTTTGATTACTTTAATTCTTAATCACATTTAGTTTTCCTTCCCAAAGATTATTTTGAAACTTGATCTAAGATTTAGAAGTTAAGTTTATCTTTCTTTTTCTCTTAGGTTTTCCCAAATCTCTTTTCTCCCTTAAATACATTTTTTGTACATTTTGGATTCACATGGCGAGACTATTTTGTTATCCGTGTCATTTAAGAGGTGTTTGAAACTGAGTGGAATTGAATTTCTCAGGTTCTGTGGTCTCGGAGCAAGGCGTGGTGCGATCTACTGGAAAGTGTGACTTGCCAGGAGGTAGCACTGGGATCGGAGGGATGACTGTGCCTATCAAAGATGAGGAGGATGACGTCTCAGGCTCTGATGGGGAAGTCAGTAAGATTGATTTTACAGGTATGTTCATTGGTGACAGGTACTTTTGTTTCTCTTTCATCATTTTAAACATGACCGTTGTTAAAACAACTGGATTTACCTTTGGTCTATTAGTGTTGCATCAACTTTTCTCAGCCCCATAGCGATGAAGGTGTCGATATTGGTTTTCTGGTTTGTAATACTGTGTGGACATGTCGGTAGTTATCAGTGTTTCCAAAAAATATACTCTCTCCTTCTTCTACCTTGAAGATGGTGCACCGCGGAAAGTAGGAAAATTAATTTGATTGCAGGGTTACCTGTTTGGAATCTGTATATAGCTTTATATGTGGTCAGAACTAATGATGCTGATTGGATGATGTGTTGTAGGGGTGAACTTAAGGACCAAGAAAAAGCGCGTAGTTGGAAGTGAAGACTCGCAGGATGGCTTCGATGAGCCGGAACGGCCCATGTCGTGGGAGGGCGAGTTGTCTGATGCAGAAATGAGTATTGTTACAGGAGCCTGCCTCAGTAATAAGCAGGTACGTATTGAACAACTTAGAAAAAATTACATTAATGTATTTAAAGATCATATCCCATGTGTATTTGTTTGAATTGCTGTTCCTTGAGAACCTATCAGTGTGCTGATTCGGGATGTGCGTCATGCAAGAAAGGATAGTTGAAATGTATTGTTGCCCTTTCTTTATTTCTCCCTTTCCAGAATTTTATTTTACAAAAATTGTATGTGCATTAATATTAATGCATGTATCTCTGATAAGCTTCTTTGCATTGTTACATTCTTATATAAAATACACTTTCTTGTCTGTCATTTATATATTTTCATTTTTGTAAGCCGTAAATATAAGTACATGTTACGAAACCTGCGCCTATAAATAATCCTTGTATATTGTACATCATTCCGAATGGTGTATTCAAAAGAAGAAATTAGGAACTGTCGCAGCCAAATGGTTAGCACTTCTGTCTTGTGTTTGGTAGGTCCCAGATTAAAATCTTGGTCCAGAGACCAACTGTTCTGACTGAGATTATTATGATTTTCCGCAGTCTCTCAGTCAAATGGGACAGCACCTTAAATTAGGCTGTGGGTGTCTCCTTCCATACCCTTTCCAGTTCGTTAGTTGTTAATCATCCGATCATTTGACACCATAACTTTAGCTACTGACAGCATCAATGCATAAACCACGAATCATAATGGGAGTTGTGTTAAGTGAAGAGATCTGTTTGCTTTGGCTTCAGGATTTGTATTCATTGAAGGTGACTTAACGGGTAAAATAAAAAGGGCGATCATATGATTTATAGAGAATATGAAATTCAAAATAAAACTAATCAATCCATTTGTTTGTAGCGTTCAGTGATGATGGATCTTTGAGTTAACTGACTTTATTGCTCCATCATGAAATGACTTCATGATCTGTGAGTGAGTAAGAAGTTTGCTCACTGTTTGGAGCAAGGTCTTCTCAACTCTTCAGATCATGAATCAGCTGCTTTTGTTGGTGTATTATTGCACACATTGACTTGACCTTGCTTTACGCCTATCAAATAAACATCAGGGTTAACTTGAATTGATGAGACCATAATTATGTAGCTGTCACTGTGATACAAGTAGGAAATAGCACATGCCACTTGTTAAACAGAAGTATTACTACTGTAACATGTGTGCAATATGGCTTCATTTAAATTTTAAAATTTTAGGGTGACAGAGATTAATTTTTGTTATCAAACTGTGTGTTAAAGGGAACTACTTTTTCGATATTAACTGCACATTTAAAAATTAAGAATAATTTTTCATGAACATTAAAACTAGTTTTCTTTGTCTAATTTTAATACATATTACTATGTTACTGAAGATGTTTTACGTAACAAAACGTCTGTACGATAAGTTAAATGTTAAGGTATGTATTTTTATTGTCATTATCATCATCATCAGTGGTGACTTCAGCATTGACATACATGTCTAATTTTGTATAACGTGATTAATATCTGGTAGAAATACTCCTACCTATCTATGTTGTTTGCCAAACAAGATCATGAGCAGGAAGATGATAACAGCCATCCCTGTTATAATAATTACTACCATATACATGTATTAGTATGAGCCGGGATAGCTCAGTCAGTATAGTGACTAGCTACGGGCTGGACGACCGGGGTTCGATCCCCGACGGGGGCAGAGGAGTTTTCCTCTAGCCTCTGCGTCCAGACCGGCTCTGGGGCCCACCCAGCCTCCTCTACAATGGGTACCGAGAGGATTTTTCCTCTAGCCTCTGCGTCCAGACCGGCTCTGGGGCCCACCCAGCCTCCTCTACAATGGGTACCGGGGTCCTTTCCCGGGGGGAAAGCCGGCCGGGGCGTGATGCTGACCACTCACCCCCATCTAGTGCCGAGGTCAAGGAAGAGAGGAGCTATACCTCCACTCACCCCAAACGCCTACATGGCGTATAGTGGGACAAACTTTACTTTACTTTTACATGTATTATTACTATGAGTATATAAAATTCTAATGTTACTGGCATTACAATTTAGTTGCAGTTATAACAGTCCATTAACAAAATTACATTTTATTAGAGATAATGATTTATGCTTGTTTTTCTTCCAGGAGCATGAAGAAACATCAATGGAAGGTGTGCAGATCTGTGGTGTCAACAATTCTTCACCACAAATAGATAGAGAAGATAATAAGCGTCCTTTGAAGTTTGGAGAGAGTGTGGTAAGTGTTAATATACTGAAGTTTCCAAATTTCAGAAAGGGACCCACAAAAGTCATGGAATTGCTTTATTACCAAAGTATGCTATTAGCTTCCGAAGGAGGACTCTGCTCTGTGGAGTTATTTAGAAATTACGTGCATCATTGGCATTGATGTTCATGTACATCTGATGCAAGTCTTATAGTGGAATTTTTAAAACATAAATCTTTGCTCAAGTTATTTGATTTTCATGTGGGGTAATCAGAGGGTGCATTTTTAACAAGAATGTTGCCTTTGTACAGGTGGACAAGGTTTTAGAACATGTGCGGTCAAAACAACTTCATCATCACCATCCCCAGGCTGGATCAGGAAATAACATCTTGTCGCAGAACAACACCACAGCAACTGACTTGCCACTTTTGGTGGATAAACTGTTGGGTAACAGTGTCTGTTACAACACAACACCTTCCCATAGCCCAGTTTTGCAGCAGAGACACATGGGACACCACCTCAAACATTCACATCACAGTGGTAACCAGGCAGTGCCACCTACTCCGAGTCCAGATTCTGCCATACATTCTGCCTATTCATATTCATCTCCAGCTCAAAGTCCTGTGACTTCACGCCACGGCAGTAGCCATGGTACGTTCAACAGAAATTTAATACGTGAATAAACAAAGTGACTGAAAAATTGTAGCAATGTTACAGAAATTTTTCACCACTAGGAAAGGCATTTGAAACTATAATGAACATTCTCTCCCGGCACCAATGACAACTTATGACATTTTAGCTAGTCATAGAAGCAGTGCAAACTTTTAAGAGTAAAATTGCAAATTTTTGTTAGAAGCATTTATATTTTCTTTTGAAAATTCTGTTGTCGGTCTGATTAGCCATGTCCATTCGACCTACTGGCAGCAATCCTCTTGTACCTTCCAGTTCCTGCTTCCCTGGTGTTTGCTGGGAGACCTCATAAAATATACATAAAAGTGATTTGTGCCTGTCACTGCTTTGTCACTAGGCAACATGTACAGCTTAATGAGGAAAGCAATCTATTTGGTATTCACAAGCCTTATCAGGCTGCAGCATCTTCTTCTTCTATGGCTCTCCGGTCCGTATTCGGTCCATGGCCTCCTCAATTCTCCTCTTCCATTCGGTCCTCTGTTAGGTCCTTCTGTCCGAGGCTTTGATTGAGGTTTCGAAACATCTTCCTTTTTACGGTGCAAGGTTGTTAGCCTTGTGACCAACCCCCAATCTGGAGGGCCAGGGTACCTGTCGTAGTCTGACCTCTCCCCCTCGACCAATCTGGCTAGGGAGGCCCTACCAGTAGCTAAGTTACCGCCACTGTGGTACTCAAGTCCCACCACCATGGCGAGGTGCAGGTACCATTAAGTGAGGCTGCAGCATAATGACAGTAAATAAAAGAGAAAATATGTTGCAGCCTTTATTTGTTGAACATGTGTTTAATGAAAGTAAAACTAATTCACAGTTTTATATAAAATCATGCATACAAACAAAACTGTTTACACTTTGTATGCATGATTTTATATATCAATATACTGCACGGTGTGCAAGGTTTTAAGATAATCCAGTGTTTGACAGTGGTATTCTGGGTTTTGATGCTATGTAGGCTTAATATAGAGAAAGTATGTTTCTCCGAAACATTGACAGCTGCCTGTGAGTCTACACAGCATCAAAACCTAGAAGAACATCATCATCTTCACCTTTTAAAGAAAAATGTGATTGTAAATAAATGCTGAATAGCTATGTTGTAAAGTGTAAATAAGTGTGGTCATAAAATTGGTATATGACCATACTTCTTAATAGAAGTCTTTTTTCCCCCCATTTTTCATCCAGAATTTGCATTACAGTTATTTGCTATTCCAGTTGTTCATTCCATACTGCATGAGAAGAGTATGCCCCCAAACCTTTTTTTAATTAAGGCATAAATGAAGAACTTAGCACCTCATGCACTTTATGTAGGAGCAAAACATTATGTAATTAGTATTAAAACATAAAATGATTGTGTTTAATCTCATACAGATAATAAATATGCATTTTTAAATCATTGTTCATGCATTTCAATCTTAAAATTTCTTCTATAGATGGATTTCTTGTTTAACTACATTTGTTCTGTTACTTATGATGCTACCATCATGTCCTTGAACAAACTAAATGTTGTGCTGTAATAATATTTGCAGGTGTGTTGAGCAGTGTAAGCTCATAAATTACTAATGATCACATCATTAAAAATCACTTTGTTCATGTGGCCTTGTGGGTTGTGACACCGTGTAGTGTTGTAGGTGTTTCACCAATGTTTTGTAGGAGAATATCACTAACATCTTTTTTACTCTGAAGATGGATGCAGCATGTTCCTCCAAAACATTGGTAACAACCTACCGGACTATACTGTCCACATTTTCACTGTTTTGAAAACCTGTTTTGAGTTGTGTAAAATCCCTGAATGTGCAGTTCTTGCCAATTTATACTGATTACCTGGGTGCAGCAAATGTTAGTTTGACCTTCTCCCCATATATCACAATTTGGTATAGTTGGTAAAATTGTTCAAAATGTTTGTTTTTCTTCTTAGGGTTACCATCATCAGGTTTCAGCTCACCATACACGCCATCCCTGTCACGAAACAACTCTGATGCATCTCAGTACGGAGGCTCGCAACACAGCAGTTGCTACAGCTATTCGTCTGTCTCTGTGTCCCCGACACAGTTCTCTCCCACACATTCCCCCATCCAGTCCAGGCATATGCATGCACACGGTGCTGTTGGGGCAGGCTTTCCTTCTCCTGTGATGCCTCGTGGTCCAGACTTTGGAACTACTCCTGGGAATGCAGGGTCACCTCTTCATGTGATGGCAGGCGGAGTCATCTACGGAAATGTGTCTGTTCCCAGATCAGGGTTGGTGACTGTAACAGGCCCCGGAGATGATGGCTTGCCACAAGAAGCTGTAGCAGCAGCAGATGCAAATGGTAAGATCTTTTATATTCTAGGGCTGTTGAAGGGTATCTCTATGTCATTTTCTGTAGAGCAGAATTAAAAATGCAGGCCGATTTCACTGTTTTATGCACATGACATACATTTCTTAAATTGTACCAGACAACATTAATTTTAAATGTGGAACTAAGTTGAGGTTTCTTGGTGGAGGAAGTAAACATTCCTGTGGTAAGAATAAAATATCAGTGCTTTGCTTTTCCGTGTTGCATCTATTTTTGTAGTTTTCTTTCTTACAAGGATTTGGTCTGTTATTCCTGTTGGATTTTAACTGTTAATTTTATTGTGATTTTCTATGGTCATTTCATGTAATCAATTATGTATACAGTGTACCATTCTGGAACATCTCATGCATGAGTCAGTTGTAGGCCCAGCATCCCTTGATATTCTCATTGCAGAGAAAGTTTGCACATATTATAGTATATATAAGTATTGAAGACCGTGTAATTATTTTTATATTAACAGATGAGCGAGAAGGAATTCTGGATGAGAAGATGTCTTCCTTCACAGCAGATTTGGTCCCACATTCAGCATTGGCTGCTCCACCTGGTATCTCAAGGCAGCAGCTCATCAACAGGTACTCTCACTAAAGGCTAAACTACTGTCAAGTTAAGTGCTGAATCAGAGATAAAGCCCGTAACTGAAGAACTCTGAGAAAAGTCTGCCATGATGCCACTTTGTTCAGTAGGAATGTAATTTGAAGTCAGCTGGGATTGAACCTGGGGCTCCCACTATGAATCCAAAAGGAAATCCCTGCACATATAAGTGAAGTTCAACAAAAACCCATGAAGGATGACTATAAGAAGTTTAATAGAAATATGCCTGTGGCATGCCATTTGTGCTTGTTGTCTCATCCAGTTCCATAGATGTGTTATTAATGTACTTGAGTGAGTCATTGAGTTGAAACATGTTGAGTCACCAGGGAGCATTTGGATGTATTTTGTTTCTTTGCTAGCTGTATACTGTAACTTAAAAATATGTGTGTTCTGTTTTCAGTCCATGTCCCATTTGTGGGGATAAGATTTCTGGTTTTCATTATGGTATCTTCTCTTGTGAGAGCTGTAAAGGATTCTTTAAAAGGACCGTTCAGAATCGCAAGAATTATGTCTGTCTTCGTGGATCTTCATGTCCTGTAACCATTGCAACGCGAAAGAAATGTCCTGCATGCCGTTTTGAGAAATGTCTTAAAATGGGCATGAAGCTAGAAGGTAATTAATTATCTGTAATTGAGCTGAATGTAATGCAATCTGTGAATGTTGAAAACAGCTGCATTGTTTTTTATGTAAAAACAAGTGATGGTGCAATAGAATCTAACATTTTTATATTTCATTTTAATTGAGTGAAATACTGAAGTTGTTCATGGTTTAATTAAACTGTCTAAAATTCTGTAATAATTAGAAATATAATTTAGCCGTTTAGAAATTATGCATAAGAAAACGGATAGTACATTATAAAGCAACTTGTCAGATGCCACACAGCTAATTCAGTTCCATGGTTTGATTAATTCTTATTACCAGTCTTAAATCTGTGATAAACCCATTTTCATTTGATTGAGTTTTTGGTGAAAGCAGACACTGATCTATGGCGGGGAATGCATAGGTAAGACAACAAGTAAAATGATGTTCAAAAGGATTAGACGTTCATTTATACCTGTTGCTTGAGAAAACAGTGGGAGTCTACAAAGCACTTACAAGAAGATTAGAAAGATTCTGAAAGCGTGAGACTGCTGTGGTTGGGGCAGATAACTGCCAAATTTTATATTAATGGATCTGATTTAATTCTTCTTGCTTGTAATTTCAGTTATCAGTACTTATGTTTTCATTTCATATTGTATTTCCTATGAGCTCATACTCTGTCTGCTGTCTCCTGTTATATTCTAGTTATATTACATAGTTCTAGTAAGGCATTTAAGAGTTGTTTTCTGCCATTAAGTTACCTGTTTTGTTCGCAGCTATCCGTGAAGATAGAACTCGTGGTGGTCGTAGCACTTATCAGTGCTCATATACACTGCCTGCCAGCCTTGTGGCTCCACCTGGAAGTGATACCTCTAATCATAAATTGCTTGCCCCCTCTGGTGACCCCCAGGTAAAGCTGGAGGCTCCAGATGTGGGGGTAGTAGCAGGGAGCAGTGGGAATGGAAATGGAGGAACAGGTCCTCTCAACTCCAGGCATCTCGACAAACTAGCCGTCCCTCAATTATTGCAAGTAAGCAATATTCCATGAAAGTACTACAGCCAAGGAAAATTAAAATGTCTAGACAGACACATTTATGTAACCAATAAGACGAAATGAAGTTACAAATCTGTATCCTTATGAGATGCGAAACATATTACATATTTTGATGTGCATAGCAGAAATGTGGACAGGTTCTAACTTGTAGATAGGTTACAGGGAGTACAGATGAAGTTTCTATGGAGTGTTAAGAAATGAACAAGGAGGGATAGAATTTAATTGAGGACATATAGTAAGTAGGACCTGGAGAAAGAATGCTGTGGTATAGATATTTACAATTATTACATGTGGAAACAAAAGGAGTCCCTTGGGAGAATCAGAAATGAAAATAGTGAATAATGAACCACGGTGGAGACCAGTGGCAAAGTCAAGGGACTGATTGAGGGTAGATACTAAAAATACAGAGGAGCATTTCAGAAAGGATGAAAGATGAAGGTTTTGTCAAAGATAAGACATTCCACACTGGTGGAAATGTTAGTAGGTAATAGAACCTTCTGTAAGTCTTTGTGCAAGCCCTTCCTCCCCAACCTTTGCAAAAAATGCCTAAAATAAGTACAATTTTGAATATTATGCTATATATCTGTTTGCCCACATGTTTAATCTCCTATTCCATACAGTGGATTTCAGTTTAATTTGTTACTTATAAACTAGCTATGTCAATATGGAACATATGTCTTGATGAATGTGTATGTATATAATGATGATATGTAGTTACTATATAATTTTTATGGAAGTGATTAAAATGTTCAATTTTTGTTTTTAGTTCTGGAGTCGTGAAACATTTGCTTGTAGTTGACTGTCATTATTATTGTTATTAGGAAATAATGGATGTGGAGCACTTGTGGCACTATAATGACCAGGAGATGCAAAAATTGTCAGCCCATGGAGGTAGCTGTAGTAGTAGTAGTAGTAGCAGCAGTAGCAGCAGTAGCAGTAGTAGCAGCACAAGCAGTAATGGCAGCAACAACAATGGTAATACAGGGGCCAGTGGCAGTAACTCAGATTTTTTATCCAACCTGTGCAACATTGCTGACCACCGTCTGTACAGACTCGTCAAGTGGTGCAAGAGTCTGCCACTCTTCAAGAATATATCGGTGAGATATGCTTTGAATTCAAGGGTGCTTTTTAAAAATATTTTCTGTTGTATATTAAGGTGAAACATATGATTAAATTAATAGATGAAGAAAAATGTCTAAAAATGTGCATCATATTAATGATACGTCCTTGTCACAAACGCTTAAACTAATCTTGCATTTGATTTTGTATGTCCAATGAAGTCTGGCAGAAGTAGACAGAAACAATATAATGTATAGGGGGTAGTGGATATAAACGCTTCTCATAGATGCAGCAGTTTTCACTGGACATACGCATTGTGAATACTGCCAATGAGTATCACCATGAATGTGAGAGATCTTAAAGAATTTTTTGTTATGCAGATTGACGATCAGATCTCATTACTGATCAATGCGTGGTGTGAGCTCCTGCTTTTCTCTTGTTGCTTCCGATCTATGTCAACACCCGGTGAAATTCGTGTGAGTCTTGGCAAGTCCATTTCTCTAGCCCAGGCTAGGGATCTGGGACTTGGAGCTTGTATTGAGCGAATGCTCAACTTCACCGAACACCTCCGACGGCTTCGTGTTGACAAGTATGAATATGTTGCCATGAAGGTCATTGTACTTCTTACCTCAGGTAAGTCACCAGGTTTGCTTTGCTTTGCTTGTGTGTATGTCTTGGATTAAGATGATGGGGAAGTTGAGGAACAGGATGAGATCAAAATCTCAAACAGATTTAAAAGTTGGAGGACTCGGATGATAATAGGGATATCAGTAGATATTAGAATAACAAAACATCGCCATTTCACGTTATTATACTGATACCCGTGCCTCTAGCATTGTAAGGGGTTAAAATAATTCATGACCCTATCCTGATCTCTTCTCTTAACTCATCACAGTAGTTCGTACAAAGTTGTTTTATTTGCAGATGCAAGTGACTTGCGAGAAGCAGAGAAGGTACGTGCATCTCAGGAGAAGGCCTTGGAAGCCTTGCAGGATTACACACTTGCTCACTACCCTGAGATTCCTTCCAAATTTGGAGAATTGTTGCTTCGAATTCCTGAGTTGCAGAGGACGTGCCAGGTTAGTTAATTATTTCTGTGATGGTCTCTGAAGTTATGGGAAAAAATTAAAAATGGTCATTGCAGATAGTGTTTGAATGTTTTTTCGTCTCTTCCATTATATAGCAAGCAGGTCAGATGTATTATATAAGGAGGTTCAGGGGGTCCGCAGTGGTCGCGCGGTCTGAGGCATGGGCCTTGTGCCGCTTGGTCGCTGGGACCGTGGATTTGAATCCCACTCAAGCCATGGATGTTTGTCCGCGTTTTTCTGTGTTGTACTGTCCTATGTACAGGTAGAGGCCTTGCGACGGGCTGATCCCTCGTCCAAGCAGTCCTACCGAATGTCTGTAGATCAAGCCAACGAAAAGTTGGGATCTGCGGTGCTCAGGCACTTGAAGAACGGGTCGTTCCCAGTATCCAGTAAGGAGGTTCAGACTTAATCATTTTTGCCAACTGTCTAATTGATATTGGCATTGTAGAGACTAATATCTTCTTGCTTCTGTTTTTCCTCAGGTATAAACCCACTTGATGTTATTCTCTTTTTAAGCATTTAAAATGGTTATGTTGTTACCATTTAATGACATTTTATTTTAATATTATGGATTGTTTTCTGAGTGCAAGTATCTGTTACATGTATCTATATTTTGTGTTTATTTTGAATGTAAGTAAAATTGTTTCTCATTGTTTTCAGGTTGGTAAGGAGATGCTGTCAATAAAGAACAAAGAAGGTGAAGGTCCTAGCTTCAACTTGCTCATGGAATTGCTGAGAGGGGACCACTGAAATGTGCCACAAGTGAGTACCTGGAGATCACATTTCCCAACTACTTCACCTGAGAGAATTATTTAAGTGTCATTTCGTAATTACTTGTATTAATAAATTTAAATGAGACAGCAAAGAATGTTGTATGTTGCTTTAGTGCTGTGTGAGTTGTAGCAATATTTTCTTAACCTGCTGTGCCATGTTCATGAAATTCATTTTGGGGGACACTGATACCATCCATGTGTCTGATTATCGTCTTTCACGCCATTGATCAGTTGCATGTTTGAGATGATGACAATGCCAGTGTTATATAATGCAGTATGCTAAAAGTTTTATTATGTCATTGAAAAATATAATCTTTTGTTTATTGTGATCTTAGGTTATTAATATTTTGTTATGAACTAACCCTTTGGTTAGTATTTCAATTGACACTCAGTGGAAGTATTGATATTTCAAAGCTTAATTGGCCATTAGGCTTTGTCCAATATTAATTGTACAAGAGGAAATTATGTTGTGTTAATTTATTTGGTTCACTACAAAAAACAGTTTACTGAAAGTGTGGTCAATGAAGTATAGGTTAAGTTGCTAGCTAGAATTTTTAAGTGTCTTAAACAAAGTTGATTATCAGTGCTTGTTATACACAAGTTTTTATAAAGCAAGTGCAGTAGTGCCATTGTTTATAAAAGATTAATAATATGAACAATCTTCATTGACTAGGTTCCAGCAGGTTGCAAGAAAGTATAAGTATGATTAAACAAAATTAATACTATTGATTGTGGTCTTCTGGGCTGTTGCACGTAACTGTTACTAACCATGTAGACCACGTGATGTCACAACAGATTTTCTTGTTTCATTTCCTGCAGTGAACAAAGGGGTTGGAAAAGCATATTCCAGGCACATACATTTGATGGTATTACTACAGTCCTTTACATTTTCATCCCCCCTGTATCATAGTAAACTTGAAATGAGTGATTCTGTGTGTTTCGTAAGTTGTAGTTGTAGCAGTAGCAGCAGCAACCCCCCTACACCCCTCAATGGCTGTACAGAAGTGTCATGTTTGTGTGATTATGACAATATTAAAACCAAGTCAAGATGTAAACAGTTGTAATTCAACAAACATTTAATTTTTCAGGTCTTAATGTGCCTTCACATCCTCGTGTAGAAAAGGACATCAGCTAGGACTCAAGTGTAGTTTATGGTGGTGGTGGTGGTATTCTGTGGTTGGTAGCAACCTCATGTTATGTTTCTTTTATATGGAAGTAAAAAAAGCTTTTTTGTTAATTAAAATGTACTTAGCCCTTGAACTCAGCTTAATTACCATTGTAAACAGTGGTACTAGCAACTTTTCTTTATAGAAAAGCAAATCGAAATGGTGCAGAATATTCTGACAGTGGAATAAATCGTTACTATGCATATTTTTATTACGTTGTACTTTATTATTTGTAAATAGTGTGAGTTGTGATTTTTGTGAGTGTATTGTGTATGTGTAAAATTTTAAAATGAAATTTTCTATTGTTTTTCACTTTTTTGTAAGTACTCTTATTATGTGACTTTTTTTAAAAGAAACAGATTTTTATATATTATAAGAAAATATAAAAAATCACGTGTTGTGGTGTGTGATGTCATTGAATGACTCACCAATGGCCGCTTTCAAAAAGCAGCTTATAATAAATATTGTTATGAGTTATTCCAGCTTTTACAAAAGCTTATGAAAGTAATAAGTGGATATTGCTGAAGAGGCTATATGCATACAAACACCTTTATACTGATGGACAAAGAGTATGAGTGCTGTGGCAGCAAACTATATAAAGACCCAAGACAGGTACTTATAAAGTTATGAATTGCGAATTGTCTTTGTTTTCTCTTAGTTTAAACATTGTATTCAAATTAATGGTTCATTTTTTTCACTGTCACTTCACAGCCTATGTAAGTTAAATTACACTTTTTACATTATTTTACTGTATATAGAAAATTGTCACTGATGTCATTATTTTTTGAGCAGCATGTTTTGAATAGAATGTCATCATCATCAGGTTCAGTACACTTTGTTATACTCATGTCTCAGCACTACCATGCAGATATTTATAACTGATAAGAATTCTACACAGACTTATGTATAAGAAAGTGTAATGAGTTTGGTGATTACAGATTCTAATTGAAACATGTTACTCAGAGAAAGTTTTGATATCAGTGACAACTTCTGTGAAAATAATAAAACAGCATAAAAAGTGTAATTCAACTGGCATAGATGTGTGAAGTAAGGTGATAAATCTGAATCAATAATAGTGAACACCAGGATGTTACAATAAATATAGAATTGTATTCAAAGACAAAATTTATCTGGTAATATGTGCAAATATATAATGGTTGAGATATGTCTTCTGCTGAAGACGGTTATTATATGGAACCTACAAAAGTTAAATGCAAGGGGTCTGAAATTCATTTTATCTGCAGGCCAAATTGTATAGTGAACATTCATTTAAAGGCTGCTTCGCATGTAAAACACATGTCATTGTTCCAAAAGGAATAATTTTTTTGTGTTCAGTATAAAAACCTGATATTAAGAATTATATATAAGTTGGCTTTCATAGCCAGAGTCAGCTTCCGGAGACAGCCTCAATCACATACAGCTCGCATTATTAATGTTTCATTGATTTCTTTTTTAAATTTTGCTCTGCGTTATGGTTTATGTATATGAATTCCATGAATTATTATCTAAGAGTAATTGGATGTTCCTCACTACTGGCATTTCATGTTAATTCTGATGAGTTTCCACATAAGTTACAAATGACTACATATTTCAAACAAAGCTGTGAATGAATTGACATTTATATAGCATTACATGGAAATAAATATCAAATTAACTAAAAGTATTGAAGGTTTCTCTAGAAAAGAGAACTGTATAACATTATTTTAAACATATTGCTTAAAGACAGATGTTAAGTAGTCTGTTTTAATTATTTGAAGTTGAGGGAAATCTCTTGATAGTAGCAAGAATATATCTGATCTTTCAGTACTGTTCAGTGGAAATAAGATTATGTTGGAAGTTATTTCAACCTTATACAAACTATATAAGAGGAAATATGTCTGGTTATATTCCAAGAATTGGTTGATAAAGATATATACAGGAACTTGAGTAGTATAAACCATTTCTAATAAGTGACTGAGCTTCCAGCATTTGTCATGAAACCACTAAACTTGTGTTAACATTGTGTGTATTGTGTTATATATTGGACAAGAAATGCTCATGGAACTGCATCAGATGGCATTGACTCCTTAGTGGTTTCAAAGTTTGGGTCACAAACTATGACAGTAGGTCATAATTTTCCATGATTTGGATAGCCATACTTACAGTATAAGATTTATTAAAAATAAAGTGATTTGTAGGTTATGGTCAAGAGATTTTTCAGTGCTTTGGGCACTTTTTCACTAACATAAATCGAGAAGAATCATGTTTCCAGGTGATAAACAAGCCACATTCCATGTGTTTCAGACCCCTGTTGTATACTTCCTTCTTTCATTGGTGTCCTACAGTGAAACTTTGATGTGATGTTTTATTGGAACTGGAAATTCACTATGTGGAGTGGATATTGTATTATCTTCATCAGTGATTTTGACATTATTACATATTACAGTCTACTTGGAGTTCCATAATGAAAGCAACATTTGTCAGTGGATGGTAAATCTAAATTGTCATAGAATGAAAATCTTTGAAAAGCTTGTTTCCAAAAGTTACTTAAGCCACTTTGACAAAATGTTTAGGGAACTTGGTATAATACTTGTTATATTTCATTAACCAATGCAGTCACTGATTCTCAACATGTTCATTTTTTGTATGAATTTATTAAATGTTCACGTGACCAAAGCCACCCTATTCCAATGGCTATGTCGATTTATTATGTTCTCTCTCATCACAAACAGGATTTCTTTCTGATGTGGAAGCTTATTCTTACTCTTGTGA